AAAAGTCATTGATTGTCAAAGTTAGATAGCATTCTGCTGGCTAGCTTCAGTACGCAGTGTTCATAGAAAGTACACTTCTCCAAAAATGATTTACGTTTAGGGTGTTTATGTCCAGTGGATTGAAAAAAAGTCAAGTGACAAACAGGCTGATGGCAGTGAATCACCCACTATTGTGGGATATGACATAATCCCTGAAACACACAAACTTAAGACACAAGATGATGTCAGAAACACACTGTGACTTTCATGAAATATCCTTATCATATCCTTTAAAAACTAATTTTAAAGCTCAAAACTGAGGTGAACAAGAGCAAACACATTCAGTTTACATTACAAATATTCTAGATATTGTATAAACATGTGTCAACAAGATTATTTTGTAAAGGTAAAAACATACTTTTTTATGGCCACAAGTTTAAAAGGGTCATGACATGAGATATTTTGCCTCAATCTTTTGACTCATTAGAGATCTTTGTATCATTACTACATTTTTTACATTTCAGCTTAAAATATCCTCTTCATTAGGGGTGTAGCCACTATGATGAATAGGCCCACCCAGTAATCATACAAATGTATTAAAAGTAGGGGTGAGTGGTATGATCAAAATTCTATTTACAGTAACAATATATTTCACAATATAACTACTTAAATAGGTAGCTGTTGTTGTTGTTATTAATTTGGACCTTGTGAAATAACAAGCACATTATCTTTTCTCATGGTTTGTTTTTGAAAGGTGTTATTTTACAGAGTCAGGTTTAAGATTGTTATTCCCCAATAGTGTTAACGTATATGTTAACACCATTATTTAAAATCAGACTTGCTATTTTATGACCCCAATTGATGCTTTGCTCCTAGATCAGGCCTGTAGCCAGGGAAGGGTTTGGGTGGTTCAAAAGCCTCACTGACAAAGAATTCAGAAAGGGTCCAGAATTTGTCCCATACATAAACTCATTTGTCCTATTTGACTTATCGAAAAAGTCTTTAAGACCAAGCGGAATCTTATGTTGGCAATCTGCACTGGCAGTTTAGGATGCCAAATTTGGCACAGCATGACTTCCCGTTCTGGTCACACCATGCCAAATTCGGCGTCTCATATTTCTTTATTCTAAATCTTTGAAAAATGTTTTGGTATATAAAAGATTGTGTTTGTGATGACCATCCGACAAGCTAATTCAGCTATTAATGGTGCTTAAAATCTCACTAAAATGCAGTATTTAAATTAATCTCATAATTAAATATAGAAAATGAGGCGAATAACTGCAAAAGGTCCACTTTTTGAGAAAAAAGAACCACCCTTTTCCCCAGGCTGGCTATGAGCCTGTAGACAGAAGTAACTTTTGTTTTCCTTGAGTTTTTATTATTGTGTAACTCGGGAGCTGCTGAATAAAGTTCTCATGGGGACACTAGGCACTAGGACCCAGCGAGAGGCTGTTTGGAAGCAATATTGAAAATAAGAATAAGAATATAGCTATTGTATAGCAGTAATATAATAACAGTGTTATATAGCAGATACTGATTTAGTTCACCCAAAAATGGAGAAAAATGGAGTCTATGGAGAGTCAGATAGCTTATGGATTTCATCCAAAATATCTAAATACTGTATCTGAAGATAAACAAAGAGATCTTGTGCCTTAATGATATTTTTTTATATATTATTAATATTATACTTTTAGATTCTGAGTGAACAAACCCTTACATGGCGATTGATGTCCTGTTTGTTTTTGTTATTAGAGGTTGTAAGGAGTCCCTTAAATTTGAATTTGAATACTGTAATGGCAGCTTGGTGTTATTACAGGGCCTTTATTCTGTTATACTACACAGCTGTGTGATGCTTGATTATGATTGGTCGATGAACATTCTAAGGTGTGCAATTATTTGAGGGCACAAACCTGACAAATGTCTTGAAATATAAGATCTAAACAATGTTTTACTTTGTTCATAGGACCATTACATCTGAACTTGCTTTCAAATTGGTGTAATGTGACAGTATTCTGCCTCGCAGGCTAATAACACATGACTTGTGAATTGAATGACGTTAATATGTGACTGATTCATGGCTTTAAGCACAAAAGACACATTCTCTTAACTGTCTGCTTTCTTTGAAGGTTACTTCCTTGATTAAAGCCTTGAAGTGTCATGTTCAGCAAGCAGAAACACACTCTATCAACATTTAAGAGATGTGTCAATTTATTTAGAATGGAAATTGACAATTAAAAAAAAAAATTGGTCAAAGCTTTAGAATAACACTTAAGAATAACACAAGACTAAGTGTGTTTTGAGGAACCCAGGCTCATTCTGAAAATGTACTGTACATTTACATTTCTGGAGAGCCAAATACTTCCCAGGAGCTACGTCTTTTTTTTTTTTTTTTTGCAGGTTTTGTTTTTGTGAATCCATCAGAGGGCCCTGTTTACGCTTTTAAAGATCTCAAATTTCTCTTGCGAGTGCCATTCGGGCCTGCAGTTCTTATGTAAATCCACAAGAGGCCACTGTCGACAGACAGACTGACTGACTGACTGACTGACTGACTGACTGACTGACTGACTGATCGACTGACCAATCAACTGACCCACCCTCCACCTTCCCTAAACCCAACCAATAGTGTTTTCAAAAGCACCAATCAACTTGACCACCCACCTCCCTAGACTCAACCGACAGTTTAATGTGCTATCCAGAAAAAGAAAAGCCCTGATTTTTACCATGTTTTCAGATTTTACTACATTCTCACCCTGTTATTTACTTGTTTATTTTTGGCTTCTGTCTTTGTCTTACCCGATTTCTGTAATCCTTTGCAGGACTCAAACCCCATTGTCATGGTCAACTCTCCGCATCTTAAGTTCACAGATGTACACGACAAGTTAACTGGACCAACTGGTAACATCAGACAGCATCGGGTAATTGGTTAGTATTTGTTTTAAGGACAAAATGCCATACTTACTTCTGGCTACATAATTCGTGATTTCCAGAAATGTATGTAGGGCTATGTTTTCAGAATGAGCCTATGTTGGTTATAATCTATAAAAAAGTAAGTTAGCAATTTGTGTGGAGTAATTCATTGAAAATATAGTTTAACATTAAAGTCTGTGTCCCAACTGAAATTAATTTTTGATTAGAGGGTATTGCTGTGCGATTAATCAAAATTGAGTTGCAATCATGGTTTAAAACGTTGTGATTAGCTAATCGCAAGAGGCTGCGATATGAAATATGTATGTAATTTCCCCCGCCCAGAGCAAATGCGTGCATGGCGTCTGTGTGTGACAGTTTTAGTAGCCAATTAAGTGTGCACACTTTTGTTCTGCCCAATTAGAAATGTGCAACCGAACTATGTGGAACGCCCACAAAAAAAAAAAAAAAAAAAAACTAACAAACAAACAGGAAAGCCCTGACAAGTGGAATAATAGCATCTGCTGTTTCAGAAGCAGTAATAGACAATTTAATATCAAAGAAGAACAGGGCATCATTAATATGGGAATATTTTGCTTTCAAAGTCACAAAGTTTTGATTACTTTATGTGAATTTCGTGTGCATTCACGGCTCGTGATGCAGATATGTGCGTCATTTGGAGAGACTGACTATAATGTAATGTATGATTTGCAATTTAATTTTCATTGGACATGTATATATATATATATATATATATATATATATATATATATATATATATATATATTACTTGCAGAATTTTAAAGCAGTTTACCAATTTAAACTTCTTTTTGAATATTACATAATTTAATGTGACTACACGCATGACACGCATGTGCAGAGAGCTTACAACCTACTAACTACGGTTTGCTTTAAGAACATTAACAGATTTAGTTACTTCAATCATTTTTATTGCAGCGCTTTTGCTGTAGGCTTTGTGTATTTGTGTCCCCAAGACATTATATAGTACATAATATTTAAAAATGCAAGTAAAAAATCCCTAAAGCTTGTCTGATAGGATTATTATATTTCCACAACAGGACACAATGATAAGTGCTTAAAATTAAATAAAATTTTAAATAATTATTCAGTGCAAGAAGCTGAATTGCCATTAATTAATTAATAATAGTAACTTTAAAAATCTCTCGGTCTCTCTCGCATCCAGTCTCTCTCGCGCGTACATTCTGTAATTCTCGCGTGTACATTCGGTCTCTCTCGGGCGTACATTCGGTCTGTCTGCGTTCGCTTGACTTTTGTCCACTCTGGGGCCTCATAACAAACTAGCTAGTAGTTACAAAGCCCCTGGTGTGGACTTTACCTTCCGGTTTGAGAAAGGACTTACTGTACGAACAGCTGGTGCAACCCTACTCAGGATATAACTAATGCCATAACACACTACCTCGCTAAAGACATGGTGCCTTTTAATGCAGTGACCAAGTGAGATTTAAAAAAACTCATCTAAATGCAGGATAGGAGGTATACACTTCTGTCTGACATTCATTATAGTCATTTTGAAGTACCACAGCTGTAGGTTTTTTGTCATGATATATTGAGTAGCATCTGTAATAATTATTTTGTTTTAGACAATATGAGCAGAAAGGATCTTATTAGCCATATTAGTTTGCTGAGTGTTCTGTCTTTTTATAATTATATGTATTTTTTTTGTTTGTATAATAAGCTATCTCCCTAATTTTAACTTGTTTACAGAAAGGTGAGGTCATTTTATTTGTGTTTACTGTTTGCACTATAGAAAAATCAGTGTTTCATTTCTAAATATTTTAAAACAAATTTGAATAAATGTTTAAGCATATTAATATATTTTCAGTTCCTTTTTAACTAACACTCACTGCATTTTAGCAGTAAGAAGCTACAATATAGCATATTGTAGCATATTGCTTATAGCATATAAGCCATTAAACTGACTCAATAGAGAATGACCACCATTTCAAAAGCAGAAGCATGGTCAGACCTTGATTGAATATTACCAAAACACTGATTAATTGTTCACCAAAAGATTAACAATATGTGGTTGCAAAAAAAGCACTGTAAATTTAGATTTCATACAGACTTTAAATAACTTCAGTGAAGGTTACAACTCTTTCTGTGCGTTAACCTGACCCATTTTAGACAAAGAGCTAATGAAAAATGTATTATTCTCACATGAAAGCATGTATAATATCAAAATATGTTAGCTTTATTGAGCAACACGAAAGGTCTACAAACATGTTTAAACACCAGGACCTTGGTCAGTTTCTTTATATCACATGCAATATACAGTATTTGCTCTTAAAACACAACAATTCAAAGTCACCCTTTCCTCTATTTCATATGTGATTGAGGAGAGAAAATTGATCAACAAAGAGGACAAACAGGAGATTTCACATCATATCAGAACAAATCGGTGGTTGTAGCCATTTTTCATAGTCATGTGTCTGTTTTTCACATGTAGAATAAATACAATGCTCGAACTTCTTTGCTGAATCCGAGTTGCAAAAACCTAAAGCAAGTCAAATGTGCATCAAACAAATAGCAAACAGCAATACTGGCTTTATCTCTGCCATTGGTGTCATCTAACTAGCGCAGAAAGGTAGATTAGAATGACTAAGTGACTTTTGATAAAACAAATTGGCTGCACATACCTTTAAAGAAGATCTCCATTTCCTATCTAAATCTCTCAATTTCCTTTTCCCCCCATTTCTGTATTTGTACTTCCCTCTAAAGTCACAGGATATTAGATTCTTCTTTTAAATATCCCAAGGCACTATACATTTCCCTACAATAAAAATGTACAACGATGCAAAAAGTTATGGCACTTTGAGATGGTAATGCTGGAGGAATTCACAAAAGCACCCCCTGCTGGCCTGGGATGTGGCATTACACGGCGATATCTGAGGCCAGGCGGAGACACAGAGCGGCTTCAGAAGGCATGTCTCCAGCGCCGATCTCATTTCCCTCCAGCCTCAAGACTCTCAGCCTGGAGAAGTTCATCACATCCACCACACTGCAGAAACTGCCCAGCGTGAACTCTGAAACCAGTGGAAAACACCTGTGTGTTAGCAGCTATACAAGTTTAATGTTTCATACAGAAATAGAAAGATGAATAATACACTGTAAAAAAAATGCAGGGTTCCACACACAACACATTTATGTTGTCCCAACACAAACTAATAAAGTTAACTTACAAATTTAAGTGGGCTGAACATAAAACAATTAAGTTGTCACAAAACATCAAAAATTGTGACGTTTCAGCTCATTTTAAGTAAGTTGTTTGAACAAGAAGCAAAACATATTTTTATTTTGAGCGTATATAGATGAAAAATCAAAATTTTACTTATTTTTTTAAAGATTCATTTTAAATGTCTGTATTTTTACCAAGAGCTGACATATTTAATCAATACAGAGGAAAAATACTGTACGTATTTGTTGCTGTACAAAGTTTTTGCTACAATATCATAATATTTTTTGATTGTTTGATTTATCTCCATTTGTTTGTCAACATTTTCTATTTAAATATCATGATTAAGCTTAAAAAAATGATATTTATAAAGAAAATGTTGACAACAACCTCTTTTAACTCTACTTTTGACAAGACCTGGATGAGTTGTCTCACACAGACAAAGCAGACTTTGTTTTGGATGTGCCCTAAGCTTACTTCTAACTGGTCAACTATATCCGATACATTGTCTAAAGTGTGTGAAGTACAGCTTAAGCCATGCGCAGAACTTGCTTTGTTTGGCATTTCACCTGATGAGCTGAATCTGAAAGATAGCACAAGACAACAAAACCTTTTTGCATCTTTACTGGCTTGCAGACAGATTTTATTGCACTGGAAATATTTAAATTCACCTAAAGCATCACAATGGCTTCAAGTTCTGATGTTGGACCTACACTTGGAAAAAAAAAAAATTCAATAGAGGTTCTTGCAAATTCACATATGTTTGGCAACCCTTATTATCATATTTATCTGCTATAAATAAACTTCCTGGGAACTAATATGACTATCTTGCATGTAACTGTAATCTTTTTTTCTATAATACTTCTGTCTTTTTTTCTCTGTGCAGACCCTCATGCTTAATTTATGTGAGCTTACCATTGTAAAATATAGCACAGCATTATCTCTGATTGTATCACCCATTATTATTGCCTATTAATTATTAATTAATTAATTACTCATTTTCAATTATTTATGTATGTTTTCTTACTTTTATTTGATAAAAAAAATGTTCTCTCTGTTATAATTAATTTTATTATTACTTTTCTTTTTACTATCTTTCTTTAGGCAGTGTACGTAGGGTTTGTTGAAGTGGGTTTATGTAAAAAAATGTCTCTGAATAAATAATGTCATTTGTACTTGGCATAAAAATGATCAAACTTTTGACTTTTGATTTTTATGTAAATATGTATTGATTATGGCACTTATTTGTATATAGTATTTTTGTATTCTGTATTCTTTCTCTTAAATTGACTAAGATTATTTATATATTTTACATATCTCTGTAGTGTTTTTGTCTTTTTTGTATGCACACAGGGTCAGATAGCAGTGTAATTTCAATTCTTTGTATGTCTGTACATGTGGCAGATTTAAAAATAAAGCTGAATTTGACTTTTTAAAATGTTCTCAATATTTTTTAACTAAAGCAATATATTGATTCAAATTAGAATCTTAATTAAACTAACTTTTTTGCCTGTGATTTAAGTGATTATATAATATATAATATATATATATATATATACACACACACACACACACACACACTACCGGTCAAAAGTTTGGGTCCGTTTGGTTTTTTTTTTTTTTTTTTTTTTTAAATGAAATTATTCTGTTCATCAAGGCACCATTTGTTAAATGTAAGAAAAGTTGTTAAATTGTTAAATATTTATTACAATTTCATTAACTACTTTTCTATTGTAAGTAGTTTCAAATGAAATTATTACTCCAGTTATTATTCCTTTTATTACTATTACATTAACAATAGTAATATAAATAATAATGATTAATATTAGAGTGATTTCTGAAGGATCATGTGACTCTAAAGACTGGAACAATGAAGCTGAAAGTTTATCTTTAAAACCACTAGAATAAATTGTTAAATTAAATGATAAACTACTTTTGAACAGTTATTTTACAGTGCAATAAGATTTGACAGTTTTACAATTTTTTTTTACTGTATTTTTTATTAAATTATTGCAGACTTGGTGAGCAGGAGAAGCTTATTTTAAAACATTTAAAAATCCTACTGGCCCTAAACTTTTGACAGGTAGTAATAACAAATGAGGCTGGAATAATAACTTCATTAAATAATCAAAGACTCTCGGTGAGCACTTAAATAATGAGCAAAGTTACAGAACGGTCATAGAGGTTCTGTACCTTTGATCTGATTGGCCTGTAGGTAGAGATGTTGCAGACTGGTACTAACAACAGGAATGCTCTCCAGTTTGTTGAAGGACAGATCCAGTTCCACCAACCCGCTGTTGTTGAATGTGTTTTGGGGGATGCCTTTGTTGGTGAGCTCATTGTGAGCAAAGCGCACATACTGCAGGTTGCTGAACTGATTGAGGAAGTTGGCTGGAACTGCGCCAATGGAGTTTGAATCTAGATAAAGCTGGTGAAGCATCTCAGGGAGACTCTCTGGAACCTTCTTGAGCTGGTTTCTGCTCACATCCAGCAGAGTTAAAGACTTCAGACCTTTCAGCCCAACACCAATATCCTGGAGGCTGTTATGATGGAGTAAAAGTATGGTTAAATTCTCCATGCCCTCAAAAGCATTGGGAGCCAACTTGCCAATTTTATTGTGGTTGAGACGAAGGTCACGTAATGACCGCGGGAGGTTGGATGGTACCTCAGTCAGGTTGTTGTTGTTCAAATACAGGCGATTCAAATTCGACAATTTAGCGAATGCTTGTTTGCCCACTGAGTTGATGTGATTCTCATGAAGCATAACCCATACAAGATTGGTGGCATTTCCGAAAGCATTGTCTGGGACAGAGGTGATCTGATTGTGCTGCAGGTACACATACTTCATCCGGGATGGGATGTAGGGCATCTTTTGAATGTTGCGGTTGTCGCAGTACATAGCGATTGGGAAAGTTGGAGGACAGTCGCACTCTTCGGGACACTCTCCACCAGTGTTGTCGGCTTGTAAAGAAGCATAACCCCGGCTGTGTAAAGAAGAAAGCCACTGGAATGGATCCTGAGCTAGAGAGACCTCCATGAGCCCCAAAAGCAGGAGAGCAATTAGCCGCATTGTCACAAAGGGAAGGGACTCGTTAGCTGCAGATAGAGAGGACACTTTTAATTTTGTAGGATTTGTGGAAAATGCTTAAGTACTGCCAACCAAAGCCAGTTAAGATGTTAAGATGATCTAACTGGCCTCCAAGCTTGGAGAAAGGTTTTTGAAGTTTTTTGAAGATAAATTTGAGATATTTTTCAAGATATTTTTTAAAACCAAGTCAATACAATATTATTATATTTTATTATACCTTTTTTTTTCAACAGGTTTTCATTTGAAGGCATCCTAAATACTAGAATAAATACTAGAATAAGAAAAAATATTTTATTCTACTCACTTATGTCTTGTTTTCTAATTTCTTAAATCAAAATATTGTCTTTTACTCTTAAAAATAAAGGTTCTTTCAAGATATACAATATTCCATGAAGAACTGTCAACATTCATTCCACTTTTCAAGCATTTCTTTAAATTGTAGAATAGCTATAAGATGAAAAATGCTCTTCACACTATGAAAGAAAATCTCTAAAGATCTTTTCCACAAAAGATTCTTGGGGAACCAAAAAAGGTCTATGATATCACTGTAAAGAAATCTTTGTTGTTTGCCCTGCCACCTTTATTTTTGAGAGTGCTGAGAAGCACAAAAAAAGCAAAAAGATAAAATTTTATATTTTTTTATTACTCAAAAACAATTTTGCACTGTGTATCTTGATTTAAGCATGTTGAGATGTTTATATTGGACAAAAATATAATTTTGAGGATAATACCTTAATATTTTTATATCAATGCATGAACTACAGGATGTACTGCAATACATTATAATATGATTTAAAACAATTCATGACATTTAATTCATAAGACCTGCAAAAATCATGTCTAGTTTAGCTTAAGCTGCACTGTAAAAAAATACTGGTTGCCTTAAATTTCAAAGTTGAATCAAATTAACCTTTTGACTCCATTGAACTTATATTATGTTAAACTGACTTAAAACAGCTTGCACAACTTATAAAATTACATTGAAACATGATTAACTTAGTTTAAAAAGTTACAATAATCTAAAAACATAAGCTGTCAGGACTAATTGATCACATTTTTTTACAGTGTGGTTTACTTGCTAGTAATATTCTTTCAGCAGAATGTGGGTGTAGAGGGTGGGAAACCAGCTAGAATATTCAAGACCATTTCAAACAGGCTAGAAAAAGGCCTCAGATTAGAAAAAAATAACATAGAATTATCTAAACAGTTTTTTATTAGACAATCAGATCAAACTGGATGTCCACAAGCCTAAAAAGCAGAAAAAAAAAAACATTTTAGACTGCTTTAAAAAATTGTAGTGGGGACAAACCTAAATGTCATAAAATGCATTAAGGCATAGGTAAAACTATCCCCTTTGTATGATAAAACTTTGGATTGTTGTCTAGGTTTCCATATAGAGAGGATATAAATCCAAGAGTTTAATTCAAAAACTGAATATCACAACTGCTTGTAATGAAATACTGCTGTAAGTATTGAGGAAAACATAAGAACAACAAACATCCAACCATCCAATTAAATTTACAGTTAGTTGCATCCATTACCAAACAAGAGAGAAAAACACACTTAACTGTATATTAATGCAAAAATGCTAACTAACATATTGGCAGTAGAAAACAGCATCACACCTACCTGATCAACGAAAGCACTGCTTTCTCTTTGTCTCTGTGAGTCCCTGTAGCATATGGAGTGGCTTTGGCAAAGAAAGCAAATACCCCTTTTCTCCCCTACAATTTTTTTTTTTTTTTTTTTTTTTGCCTCCACCCTCTGAAGCCCCCTCTCAAGCCCTGTCCAATTACAGAAGACTTGCTTTTTCTCCATCCCAAGTCCATTTTTCACCAGCATTGAGTGGCTGGTCTCGATCACTCCCAGCTGTGGAACATGTTAGGGACATCTGCTTCTGCATGCATTGAGCTTTTCTCATTAACATGAATGCGTTCCTCTCTGAAAAGCTGACCAGACTATCAACAGCGCATAAGGGAGCTGTATGCAAGTCTGCAAACAAGTCTTCATACCACTGAGCCATCCGAGTGCCATGATAAACATGCTCACATTCAAAAACATATTCGCCACTTTTCCCTTCTGATGCAGAGTGATTGAAGTCACTTACTGAATACAAAATGCAGCAATGTTAACACTGCGGCCAATATTAAACAGCCTGTCATAGGATCTGTCTTTCATATCTTCTTTGCTTTTCATATCTCCAGGCACTTCTCCTGAGGAATGTCAGGTCTTGCATCTCCTGAGAGGCCTCACTTTGTGGTCTTTGATGGTTGGTTGCAGATGTTTTTTGGTATGTAGGTCTGTGGTGTGTAGAGTCGCTGGACTTTGGACTCGACGCAAGACATAAGGCCAGACAGTTTCATGTTCTGACAGCTCCAGGCCTGAATATACTATCATAACATATCATAGGTCTTCAGGGAGTCTCCTTTTCATTTACTGTTTAAGAGGCTGGAAAAAAAGAAAAGAATAATCGAACAATGGTGTGGATGGATGTAAAAGGAAATGTACACTATGTTGGCTAATTTTAGAACCCTAACTCTAACACTAATTGACTAGGTTTAATAATAAATTTAATTTATTTACTTGACGCCATGTTATACCAAGACATGACAAAGATGTTTGAAATTAATGTTGAAAATAATTTTGTCAGGTTTTTCCCCATTTAAGCTTATGCAGTTGATTTTATATTATTAATTAATTGTATTAATAAGATAATGCAAATTTACTCATCATTTACTCACTCTTATATGTTTCCAATTTCTTTATACATTTCTCTTCCCTGTTGCACAGAAAAAAAGGTATTTTAATGAATGTTGGAAAGCGATAATCATACTCACAACATTTTTTGATTAGTTTTTTTACCCTCATGTGCTCTTTGGGATTTTTTCATCCAGTCTGGGGTGATTTTGAATCTTAATTTGGCCACAACTTTCTCTGTGTTTCAGCAAATGCACTATAAAAAATTTAAGTCAGTTAAAAAAAAAAAAACATCCAACCCGTCACGCACACAACATCATAAGACGTTAACATTAGGTTAGATTTAGATCTTGATGTCAGGTAACCAAAATTCAATGTCTAGCCATCATCTAAAGACAATGTTACTTTGACATCCAATAACGATGTTAAAGAGCCCCTATTATACATGAAATAGGGTCATATTTTGGTTGTAAGGGTCTCCAACAACAGTCTAATATGCATGCAAGGTCAAAAACACTTTCATGGTCTTATAATCTGCATTTATTTTTACCTAATTATCCCAGCGACCCCATATGAATCGTCCAGTGATTCATTTGTTCCCAAACCCCTCCTTAGTGCGAAGCTAATCTGCGCTGATTGGACCAATGACAGTCTGTTGCGATTGGTGGACACTGACTGCCTTCAGCGAGAGACAAAGTGAAATGCCCAGCAGTTAATGAACAATGTAGATGTAGTCACAGTGCATACACGCTCGATAGTGTAAGGCATGGATTTTAGCTGGCAGTAGGTGAATGTAAATACAGACGATGGACTTGAAAATACAGACGACTAACTATTTTATTAAGCAAAAACTCCAAGAACTGGCAAATAGATCTCCTAGCTTGTCACACTCTGCTCTTTTCACAGACACACACAAACATATTGCCCTCGTCCTCGCATACACGCACACACACACACGCACACACACACACGCACACACACACACACACACACACACACACACACACACACACACACACATAACCCTCCTCCGGACGACAACGAGCGCGAGCACACACACACACACACACACACACACACACACACACACACATAACCCTCCTCCGGACGACAACGAGCGCGAACACACACACACACACACACACACACACACATACATACATTACCCTCCTCTACGGAACGTAAACGAAGCGGCACGCGTCGCGTTTTTAACGTGGCTTTGCACGCGATATGAGAATATAGCGAGTTAACCTGATACAGTACATGCGGTTACAAGTAACAAATCACAACTAAATAGATTTGCAAACTAGAGTAAACGATGCAACAACTTTAATCGCACATACTTACACTTGAGAAATGGAGGAAGAAACCGATCCATGTCCTGACATGTCCATCATTACTCTTTACTGATCCTTCCTTTAACAAACGAAGTATTCTTTGTAGCATGTACTTTCCAGAAGTTTCCAGTAGTTTCCAACTGCTCAAGGCTGGGCTTATGCTGAGGTTTCATCTTTGGGTAGAGACTTAATAATATCCATCTGCAGTGTGACTTCAATCGACCGGCATGTTTGTGTGTGCGTGTGTTTGTGTGTGTGTGTGTGTGTGTAGGTTTCTGTGTTAGATGGTGGGGCCGCAGGTTTCAAATCTCCCGGGTTTGCGCGTGCACGTGAATAACTTCATTGTTACGTCATGGCGAAACACCTAATGACTCATTCTCAAGACGACTCGTTTGAAGCACTATAAGTCGACTTTAATAACTGAATCATCAGTTTTAAACACACTACACTTACAGATTTAAGCCTTAGCTGGATATTTCACTTCACTTAGAGCTGTGTTACACACTACATGGAAGGGCATTTTCAAAAACCCATAATATGTGCTCTTTAAATTTCGTTGATAGTTGGTTAATTTTAGGTTGTGTTGGAAAGTTACCAAAATCCAACATCTGATAGATGTCATAATGGTCACGTCAAGGTGTAGCATAATTAGACATTGATATTTGGTTGATTTTTGGTTGATTTTATGTTGGAGATTGATGTCTGCCTAATGTTGGGTGCTGACGTCAACACAATTTTCATTTCCAAACAAAATCCAATGTCCCCATGACATTGCGGTATGTTGGGGTACAACATCTATATGACGTCATGTTGAATAAACCATCATACCAGAGAATATTTCCTTTTGCTTTTTCTTGTTTACTCAACTTTTGAAAAAATCAGCTGCACTGACCTAAAATGATTTGTCTGTAATACAAAAAAACTTTTTTATTGGGTTAACATAAGATTATTAGTTTTCTGGAGAGGTAAACTACTCTGTAACAGATTTTTTTAGTTGTGCCAAGTTAATTTTTTTTTTGTCTGCAGAACTGGAATGCCAGAAGTTGAAAACCAATCTTTTTTTCTTTTTTTTCTCATGTACTCAACTTTTTTTTCCCACTATTACTTGATAGGACGCTAGAGCATAAAGAGAGGTAAGCGTGTGGAGAGGAGAGAGGTGAACGATGTTAACAGAAAACTGACAAATGTTAACAAAACATTTATTAGACACAGAATTAGAAACAGGACAGGAGGTAAAACAACAATAACAGTACACAAGAATGATTTTTGGTGACAAATCTTCTTTAGACAAATATTTTAAGGAAATGCTTCGAAAATTTTACATTTGGGCAAACTTACTACCCTTTTGTTCTGTTTGTGTCTGTTTTTGCCTCATTGACTTTCATTACAATGATTGCAAATTCATGATGCCATACAATCATGCACTCATAATTGTTACTGGTTTTCTCTGTTGAGAATAGATACTTTACAATTTTTATTGATGATCATAAGTTTCAGTGGAAAAAAAGCGTATGTCTGAAAAAAAAATGGTTATATGGAGTATGTGTGTGTGTGGATGTGTGCGAGAGTGTGAGAGGGACCTTGATATGTATAAGAAAAAAAAATCAGTAATAAAACATCTCAGAACATAGTAAGTGTTTTTTTATGCACGTAACTATAGACACTATAATTTGCTGTTGTACTCCATAAAACTCCAAATAAACGCCAGAAACTTTTGAGTACAGGCTTATCTAAAGGCTTAATGCTGCCAACTGATGATCAAGAGTCTTCCCATCAGTGAAAAACTCACAAAATCAGGAATGCGTGATTATCTGGTGTCATGGCTTTGCAATAAAAAAAGTCATTATAATGGAAGTCAATGGGGCAAAAACAGCCACAAAAATAACACAAGGTTTGGTTAATTTGATCAGTCCACAAGGGTTAATTATTACCTAATTGTAAATGTATTGATACAATTGTAAATACAAATACATATTATACACAACAACAACAATCAATAATTGTACAGTATAATAAAAAATCTATTAAGATATTTCTGAAATTATGTCTTCTTAAAAGGCAAAATACTAAAGTATTTTAAATTAATACAATTAATCTGAATTCAAATTTAAAATCATTATCGTTTATTTACAAAGCAGCTTGTTAGTACTGGGTTAAACCTGTTTCGCATTCAGAACTGGCCTAAATCCTTGTTGCATTGATTCAAGGAGGCCGAACTGGAAACATTCCTCAGATTTTGGCTCAAATTGACATTATGGCATTAAATTTGTCAGCTGCATATCCATGATGTGAATCCTGCGTTTTACTACATCCCAAAGGTGCCCAATTGGATTGAGATTTGGTGACTGTTGAAGTAATTTGAGTAAAGAGAACACACTGTATTGTTCAAGAAACCAATTTCTAAAGATCTGAGTTTTTGTGACATGGCTCTTTATTCTGTTGGATGCTGCATCACTAGATTGGTACACTGCAGTCTGGACATGGTCAGTAAGGTCTGGTCTCTCTCTGAATGGACAATGAGAAGGCTGCATTTAGAGAAACTCAATGCAATACAGATTTTTTTTTTAAATTATATATATTTTCGGTTTGGTTCAATTCTCATGGCTTGACACATGCTTTTTTTTTTAAATTATTCTATGGGAAATAGGAACAGTAAGAGG